CTGATTCACCTCCTACGCATGTGAGACTTGACTGTTTAGCTTAAGATTTCATTTTACATAGGGAAAATGGTTATTGAAGGTTTTCTTGAACGGGTGTCCACAGAGTTGGAAGCCACCATCAGCACAGCCAAAGAGAAAATGAGGATTGTGTTTTAGGGATTTCTAGTGTGGATGATCTGTTCTTATTAAGCAGGAAAAAATGCCAGTACTGGGCATAGATCATAAAACCAGAGCATAAACTGTATAGAACAACTTGGCAGCACTGCTGGTGCTGTACCAGGGTAAGTACAAAGGCACCAGGAACCTTTTGGTGCGTGGCCCAAGTGTGTTTGGCTGTCTTTGTGCTTCTTCTAGTTCACAGCTGGGCAGAGCCTTGTGAGGCAGCCTGGGCTAACAAAACCGCCAGTGTTAGTCCATCTCTGCAGCATCCTGAAACTTCTGTCCCTTTGATTGTGGCAGTTTTCTTACAGCTACAGCAGGAAGAGACAAGTGGTGGATTATTTACTTTTTTCCCCATCCGTAACTGGCATGTTCTGCTTGCTTATTCTGTTAGTGCCTTTTTGGTTCATGATACGTCTTGCTTGGTTTGTTGGGTTTTGTTTTACTTTCTCGTGCTGCCTGGACATGGGAGAGGGGGCTTAGTGTGTTTAGTGATCACTTGTCAGGATCTTGCAGTTGGTACCCAGCCACAGATACCATCTTGGTGAGCTTTGCTGTGAGAGCTTTGACTTGGAAGGAGGAGCTATACCCTGGGCATGGTGTGTCTTAGCCACAGTCACTATGTACAGCTGCCTTGCTGGGCTGCACCAAGACCTTGGGAGGAGATAACAGCACCTTTTCCGACTCTGCAACAGACATTTTCCTGCTCGAAAAGCGTGTGTTCCTGGATTTCCACTCTCTTTTTTTTCCCCTTCTCATCTGCCACACAGTAGTACTGAGAATTATTAAACCCCCAACTTTGGCTGTTGCTCTCAGTGATTTTTTTGTTCTGCTGATGTTGGGTGTTCTTATATCTGTACAAGTTAATGTTTTACAGGCACTTAACCACCCTTGGCACAAATGTTGACTTAGAGTTTCTCAAGGAAAGGCATCTATAAATGTTACACTGATTGTTCTTCACTGGTATTGTCCAGTGTTACTGCCTAGACAGGCAGAAGAAAAATGAAAATCTGTGTGGTTTCAGAAGTGGAGATAAAAACGATGTCTCTTGAGGTGTGCTAAGTATCCCAGCTCCATGCAGGTGTAAGGCCTGTGTCCATTGCAGTGCTTGCTGTCTCACAAATGATGAAGCTGACAGGGAATGCTATTTGTATAGATGTGTGACTGTTGTGACCTCCTTTTCTAAGGGAAAGCTACAACCTGCTTTGGGCTCTGGCAATCTTTAATGTCAAACTGGCATAATTTGTTAACACTCGGTGTCAGCTGTCACAGAACAAATAAGCATGGAAAAGAAAAGCTGTGTTCCTCTGTCCTGAAGATCTTTGTACCATTAATGTGTGTTGAGACAGAGAGAGAACAGGGATGTGGTGGGGACATGCATGGGATAATTCTTGCAAGCTGCAGTCACCACACACATTAAGTCATTTTTGGGGCTTTTGTATACACATGTGGAAAGGGCTTTGCTGGATGTAATTCAGCCTTGAATTTTGTAGAAGTTTCACATCCTATTCCTTATTTATGAGTGAGATTTGGAGTGGTTGGAAGAGCTGAAGGTTGGAGGTTCGTGGTGTTGCCTGAGTGGGAGGAGGTTCAGATCCACTCTAGAAGTTTGCCAGGAACTTGGACCCTCTTTTGGGATTGTTCCCTCACTAGCAGGAATAATATGTTGAAGCGTTTTTTTGGATAGGAAACTTTTAATATTTGACCTGCAAAAGTACTATGAATTGTACTGAATAGTGTTTTTCTTGGTCTAGAGAGATTTTAATAGAGATTTTAACAATTTTTTCCTGTAACTTCGTGTTGTCTAAATTTAAACTTGGCTAATGTGAAGGTCTGTCTGTGTAAGAACTGTACGCTGAGGGCTGAGATCTTCAAGTGGTGTTGGTTTATAATGCAGCTTTCTAACTCTAAAGGAGTGCCTGACATGAAAAAATAAATCTTGCAAGCAAGGAGGCATAGCTTCAGAAGAACTTACTGCCTTCCTGATGGTGGTCATTGTCTTGAGCTGTGTTAGCCAGTATGTGGACATTTGTAATTTGGATTGCTGCCAAACCAGTTGCATTACCTTAAAAAATGTTCTTGGGCAGTGGTTGCATCAAGTCAGTGGATTACTGCAATTCAGCCTAGGAACAATGACAGTGCAGGATGTTTGTGCCCTTAAAATGTCAATGCACTAAGATAGTCGCTGAGGCATGATTTTCAGTGACCACAAGGAGAGCAAGGTGGCCTGGGTTTTTTTGGTTTTTTTTTTTTTCCAGCAAGCACAAAATTGGATAACAGCATTCAAGAGGAAGATAGGAAATGCTTGTGTATTTGTCTGGCTTTTCCCTATGGGTGAAATAGGTATTGGAGTAGAAGGAGGTTGCAATATGGAGGTGTTTAAGCAGGGAAATGTAAGCCAATGGTATCTACTGTGTTAGCCCATGTAAATTAGTTGAAATGTAGAAGATTGGTTAAAATAGAAATATATCTGTCTGTGGTAAAGGGGAAAACCTGATCAGGGAAATTATTTGTGCCTACTGTCTTAAAAAAAAAAAGTTGCCACATTTGACTTGTGTTGCATCATAATTCATACTGAACAGACTTAGTTTCATAGCTGTTTGTGATTGAAATTTCTGGTTTGAAGGGTCTTTGTTTAGTGGTGTTGCAAGATGTGATTTTTCTCTTTTTAATGTTTTATCCTCCTTTTAAACTTCTGTCAGTCGCTAACACTGGCATTTAGATAATATGAAGTGGAAAGTGAGTAGCTTTGTCATTCTGTGTGGGGAAATATTCATTAAGGCATACTAGGCTGATTTTAAAGAGCTGAAGACAGGTTTTGAAGGTTTATTAAACCAAACAAACATAACAAGCCCAGTTGAATAAAACAATTGATGCTGGACATTGTACTTGGTCAAAGAGTTGAGTGCAGATAGAGTCAGGAGAATGGCTGGATAAACAGTGTCTTAGTGATGACCAGTTCGGACTGAAGAGATTGCATTGCTCAACCTCCTGTGTTTTGCAGATCATTAAACTACAGCTGATTTCCCCCTGGGTTGAGCCTAACTTTTATTTGCCCATTTGTTTGATTCTTACCAAAGTCCATAAAACGTGTGAAGAGAGATTAAATCCGAGCGTGCATTCCCTGCTGGGCTGTAGCCACAGGGTGGAGAGTGAGGGGTGAGTGTGTCTGAGTTTACAGATGAGAAGACATGATGTCTGAACAGAGCAGATGGCTTTTGCATTTCTTCTGCAGATAAATAAAAGATATAATATTTTTAAGTATCAGAATTGTCGTTTGCAAACTAAGCTGTATGAGATTATCTGGTAGGCTAAATTGAGGGTACTTGCTGAGAGAGATCTTTGGAGCAGGAGTTGTTTCTTGGAAGGCATGTGCATGCTTAAGTACACAGCTTGACCTTCAGTGACTTACCAGTGGTTCTAATGCCTCAGTTGAGATAATTGTGTTGTGTTTCACCTGACTTCCCTCTCCTGTTTTGGGCTGCTGGTACTGACCTGCCTTGTGCTGACCTAGGGTTTACTCTGTTTTCCAAGTGCCTTTGCAGGCTCACTGTTAGTGGATGAGCTTGTGGCCTCCAAGGCAAGCAGAGGTTGTTCCTTTACCTCCATTGCACCTCAGTTTCATGCATTTCCAGGGGGCTCCTGTCTCTGGAATGACTTTCATTGCTGAAGTTTTCCAGTGATTTATCTCATGCTCTGTTTTCCTTTGGTAGTGAGAAGAGAGAAAGTTGTGCTTTATCTCATGCTCTGTTTTCCTTTGGTGGTGAGAAGAGGGAAAGTTGTGCGTAAGCTGTAGGTACATTACAGATTTTTTCATTATTGAAGCTTGGCGATGTTGGTTGACAGTGGCTGAACATGAGCCAGCAGTGTGCCCTGGTGGCCAAGAAGACCAGTGGCATTCTGGCTTGTGTGTGTGGCCAGCAGGACAAGGGCAGTGAACAGTGTGCCCTGGTGGCCAAGAAGACCAGTGGCATTCTGGCTTGTGTGTGTGGCCAGCAGGACAAGGGCAGTGAACATCCACCCCACTGTACTTAGCAACGGTGAGGCCCCACCTCAAATCTTGTGTTCAGTTCTGGGCCCCTCACTGCAGGAAAGATATGGAGGTGCTGGAGTGTGTCCAGTGAAGCTGGTGAAGGGTCTGGAGCACAGGCCCTTTGAGGAGCAGCTCGAGGAGCTGGAGGTGTTTAGCTTGGGAGAAAAGGAGGCTGAGGGGTGACCTTATTACTCTCAACAGTATCCTGAAAGGAGGTTGTAGCCAGGTGGGAGTCAGTCTCTTCTCCCAGCTAACAAGGGACAGGACAAGAGGAGATGGCCTCAAGCTGTGCCAGGGGCAGTTTAGAGTGGAGATGTGGAAAATTTTTTTCGTGGAAAGGGTTATAAAGCATTGGAACAGACTGCCCAGGGAATTGATGGAGTCACCATCCCTGGAGGGGTTCAAATACCATGTGGATATAGCCAGGTGGGAGTCAGTCTCTTCTCCCAGCTAACAAGGGACAGGACAAGAGGAGATGGCCTCAAGCTGTGCCAGGGGCAGTTTAGAGTGGAGATGTGGAAAATTTTTTTCGTGGAAAGGGTTATAAAGCATTGGAACAGACTGCCCAGGGAATTGATGGAGTCACCATCCCTGGAGGGGTTCAAATACCATGTGGATATGGCACGACTGGAGTCACCGTCCCTGGAGGGGTTCAAATGCCATGTGGATATGGCACTTGAGGACATGGTTTAATGGTGAACATGGTGGTGGTGCTGGGTTAACGATCGGATTTGGTGATCTGAAAGGTCTTTTCCAACCTTAACGAGTCTGTGATTCTGTGTTGGTATTTGTCTATTTTCTTCATGTTGACTTGGAAAGTAGAAAAAGGTGTTTTTGCATCTTCTGAACAGCACACACCCCCAGAAAATCCCCTCTGTGTGGTTGCTTTGGAAACCTTGCATTACAGTAAGAATTATTTAATGTTGTCACCTTCTTTACAGATGATGACTTTGATCAGTTTGATAAGCCTGGTGCAGAAAGGTCTTGGAGAAGAAGAGCTGGGGATGATGACTGGGACAGGTAGGTACAGTATTTTCATGTTCAGTTTCTGTATGCTCAGCTGCATTGCTCTGTTTTCCTATTCTGGCATTTTGTATCCTAACATTCTGAGCAGTGCACATTTAGATCCTAATGAAGATGTTGGTTCTGCGTGTGTCAGCCAAGGCTGGATTGTGCCAAACATACTTGCCTTGAGGAATACAGAGCACTTTGAAGTGATACCATTTAAAATTGGATAAACACAATGTATTTGTGGTGTATAATTTTGCAATTAAGGTCCTGGTTTTCCTTTTAAATATTTAGTAGCTCTTGGGGGTTTAAATAGTTAGAATTTGCTAGTACTCAATTTTGCCCAACTTTTTTTTCTTTTTTTTAACTAGATGTTTAAATTCGTTTTCTCAAAGTCCTACTTCAGTTTTACATTGGGAAGAGTAATAAAGCTTAGTTATGGACTTCTTCAACAAAGGCTGTTGTAAAGATTTGGAAGTATAGGTGCACCTGGTTATTTTGTGGGAGAATTAGCTGGGAAAGGAATCAAGCTGCTGGCTAGGTGCATCTGTTCTTTCTGGGAGAAAACTTTTCACTTGTGTGGGTTTTTTTTTCTATGTTTCCTTTTTAATAATAGTCTTCTTCAGATTTTGCCAGTGTTTTTTACTGTAAAAGTGGAAAAAAATCCCCCATTCCTAATGGATTTTTGTCTTCTCTAATAATCTCTCAGGTGATTGTAGTAAACAAGTTTTAGTCTAAGTAGTTTTCCACTGAGCAAGGGGAGTGAATCAACTGCTCTACATTTACTGTCATTCCGGGGGGATTAGTTTCCTCCTCCATGCTTTTCTGATAGATTCAGTGGGTAGTTTTCATTGCTCTAGGAGGCAAGTGTGTGACTAAGGAATTTGGACAGTAGGTCCAGTATAGAGGATGTTCTGCTGTTTGCTAGTGAGGAGTGTCTGCTCTCTGTCAAGTGAGTAGAGTTGTTTGAGAATTGGATGCTGAAGTGCGTCAACGAACTGTTCAGGTTCGAGAGTGTAATTCAAACTTGTTTGAGAATTGGATGCTGAAGTGCATCAAGGAACTGTTCAGGTTTGAGAGTGTAATTCACCTTGTTCAGGCTGGGTCACTGCACTGTGCTGCCTCCCAGCCCAGATCTGGGTGTTACAAACCCTAAAGCCAGGACTACAGGCAAAATGTTTGTATTGAAGCGTTTTCTAACTTTTTGTCTTGACTGACTTTGTGGTGGGAATAGGTGGCTCTTACACACTGAGGGGTCACATTTGGTTTTAGCTGTCCGCCTCATCATGTCACCAAATTTGGAAGAGTCCAGCAGCTGTTGAATCAGAAGTTGTAAACTTATTCCCAGTGGGAAACTCCCTGTGGCAAAGCTGTTTTTAATAGGACTTGAGAGAGGTTTTAGCATATTTTTCACTCAGCTCAGACTTTGAAGCACACAAAGATTCAGTTCTAGAAAAAAAGTTACCATATATGTGTTTATTATTAGCTGCATATATTTTAAGATCAAAAATCAAATTATTTCTTAGTGAAATTGTAAGGGAAGTGGTTTCAGGTGCAATGCAGAAGATTCCAATGTTTCATTTTACTGATAATTTCAGAAGTTGGGTTTCCTTTTTTTTTTCAGCTGCGTCTAATGGAATATTATTTGCATGTGTTGGAATTTTTAAAAAAATATTCTTTTCAGATTGCCAAACCATCTTTCAAAATGTTAAATTCTGTGGGTGTCTTGGCAATTCCAAATGCTGTACATGGATATGTTGTTGCCTTATGTAATTACTTAAGGTTTTTGGCCTAATTCAGCATAGGACAGGGTTTCTTGAAGATGGAAAAAAGGTTGAATGAACACAGTAGCCTTGGAGTGCTGTAATCTGTCGTGCTTTGTTTTGCAACCTAAGTATCACTGTGGGGGAGAGGAAGAAAGAGTTCTGCTGTTTATCACACATCTTGGTCACAGAATCAGTTAGGTTGGAAGGGATCACAGTGGGTCATCTGGTCCAACCTCCCTGCTCTGGCAGGGCCACGCTAGAATACAGGGCTCAGGATTGCATCCAGTGAGAGAGAATCCATGACCTCTCCGGGCACTCTGCTCCAGAGGCAGTGACTTGCACAGTAAGGAAGTTCTTCCTCATATCCTGATCAATCTTACTGTGTTGTTACTTGACCGAGTACCACCCTCCAGTCAATTAAATGATTTTGGATTTTCAGTATTTGGCCTTTCAAACACTGGAGGGTGAAAACCGAGACTTTTAAGACCCCAGTTATTTGGGGCTGCAAATGTAATGTTATTCTTGGAGAATTTTTCCCATTGCTTTTTTTTCCCTAAGTTCTTCTCCTGAAACACTTGTGTCCTTGCTTCAGCTCCTGTTTTAATAAGGCATGCTCACAGAATTGGAGGTCAGAAGGGGCTAGTCTGATGTCTTTATCACAGCCTGTTAATTTACACATTTATCTCTTTAAGTAGTACAAAGTTTGGGTTAGGGAAAAACATGGATTTCCGGGGCTATCCTTGGAGATGACAGGGCTGATTTAGTAGCTGACTTTTGCTGATATTCACTCGTTCTGACCCCTTCTCTGAGATTACTTGTTTCTCTACACTGGCGGAAACTTTCACTTTTTTGGTATCTGTCTTTATTATTATTATTGTCCTTATTTGATGAGCTCAGTGTATTCAGTGAGGGCAATATTGAGTATTGGGAGTTGAAGTGCGTCTGTTTCTTGTGAGAACAGTGAACTCTTAGATTATCTTAACCCAAAATTTCCCAGTGCTGTGGTTTTGGAAAGGCTTTTGAGTCTTGATAATAGTGAGGGTGAGTTGCCTTTGGAACGATCACAAATGTATACTTACATTCCAGTTTAATTTATTATATGTGCCTTTGTGTGATATCAGATGCAAACATTGATTTGTGTCTGTTTTTCTCAGCTAGCTGAAGATCTTCTAGTATCTGGGGGGGTTGTTTGTTTTGTTTCCTTTGTGGGGGTTTGTGTGTTTTGGTTTGGGCTTTTTTTTTATTAGGTTTTACTGCTTCTGGCCCCTCTTATTTCTGATAGATTTGGCGATTTTAAAAGCAGCTTGAGACAGTTCCTTTTTACTGTGCAGGCTTTTCACTGTTACTCTTCTTATTCAAAAAGTTACTCATGGTCATTTTTCTTCCTTTAATTTGTCAATGAAAATACTGAATGACATTGAAGAGTTGAATAGGTTTTGAAGGGCATCCTGTGAAAGACTTCTGTTTCTGATAGAAGCTTCATTTTTGTGCTAGTGCTGATTTTTTTTTTTGCTGTAAAGCAGTAAGCCAAAGTTTCTAAAATTCAGGAATATGTTTGCAGTTACTTCTATTTGTCAAGTGTTTAATCTTTTTCTAAAAAATCACATCAAGGATTTTTTTTGGTAATGTGTTAAATAGCCTTAAATGTGTTTAGATAATTAAATATCTTTTGCTTTCTTTTCCATTCCTTTTCTTAATCTGAATTTCTTACTACCTGAACTTGTTTTTTGTCTTTGAGTGTTGCTGTAACACACTCTTGCCATATTTTGGGATTTCTCTAGTGCAGTTTTATTAAAAGCTGTCGGTGTTGGGAACTATTTTCAAACCCTTTGGTGCACTTGTCAGATTACTGCAGTTGAAGAGATTAGTGACTTTTTCCTATTTCAATTTTGTCTATATTCTTCTGCAACCATTTCTGTTATGTAGAATTTATTTTTTCTGAAATAAAGCACTTAAATTCTAGTCAGTTTGTTCTGTAGAGTGTTACGGTATGTCTTATGTCCCAATATATGTTTCCTATTTCAGCGAGCACAAAACAATTGCTATTTGTTAATGTTCAGTCATTCCTGGAACCATTTGAGATTAGTAACCATGGATAAATACTGTGTACTGATGATAATGTCCTATTTGGGGCCGATTTGGTCTATCATTTGTGCTCTCCTAGCACACGAGATTTTTATTCCCCTCTGTGTTATCTGTGTAGTAACCAGCTCTGAAAGAGATGAATCCATCTGCAGAAACAGCTCTTAGCACTGGTTTATGTCTTAAGATTGCTTCCCCATTTTCAAGTGTGTACTTTGTAGTCCTAAGGAACTCCTATAGAAATTCCTATTCTGTTCATATAGCTCATTCTCACTTTGAGGGATTTGTTTTTTATGTAGTATCCAAGGCACGGTGGGTTGTGGTTTTGTTCTGGTTTTTTTATGGTGTGCAGGTAGAAATAGTCTCATACTAAATTACAATTCATATTTCAAATCACTGGCATCTCATTTTAGTATTGACATGCATATTCTAATACATGCATTTGTCAGTAACAAGTGTTTATTATAGAAGGGGAAATCTGTTTAATCCTGTCACTAGATAATTCTTTCACTGAAGGAGGAATGAGATTAAGCAGTTGTTTTAAACTGCAGCTAATCTGGACTGTAGTCCTTTGTGTTGAACCTTATTTATGGGGCTGTTGCTAAGTGATGGCAGAAGTTCTGTAAACCAGGTACTTCTATGCCTGCTGAATTCTTGAGCAGACTTATAAAAATGGTGAAACTGCATTTGGTTTTGTCAGCCTATAAATGTCTATTTGACCTTACCTTCAAGTAGAGGAGGAGGGAATAAAGTATTTATGAAAGATCTAGGCCTAAGCCTGGGTTTTAAGAAAGGTTTTTGCTCCCAAGCCAGCTGGCCTCCCAGTCTGCTTGCTGAGGTGCAGCTCGGGTCACATGGTGGCCTGTAGACTGTGTCTTGCCCAGGGACATTCCGGTCTCAGTTCTTCACTGGGGAGCTGGAAATCAGCAGTCTGGACAAAGTGGGTTCAAGCAATATGCCCCAATAGCCCTGAAGATCTACAATGGGGACCTAACTATCTGTGCTTTGGCTAGCTGTGCCTGCACTTTGTCTAGGTTTTTGTGCTGTGGGGGGATATGGAAAGGAGGGCATTTATTGGTAGGTAGAGATCTGCATTGCAAGGGGCCACCTGCATTGTTCAGGCTTCAGGACATCCAAGGGGCCACCTGCATTGTTCAGGCTTCGCTGTTGCAAGCAGGACATCTGTTGGTCTGTTTTTCATGGAAAATAAACGTGTTTTTTTTCCTGAATGCTTTGCTGAAAGGAAGGCTTTGTGCAGTCAGCAGAAGTTTTCCTCAAGGCAGTTTAAGACATATACCCTATAAGGTATTTCTTTCTGTTTTCGAAGGTTCAGCTTCTTAATTTTGTTACTGTTTTCCAGTGAACTTGATGATGACTTGCTTGGAGAGGATTTGCTAACTGGAAAAAAGGTAAGAGATGTGCATCAAAGTGAATTGTTGCAGATGTTAAAATCTGAATGTTGTTTAACTTGCCCACTTCAGGTGTTTGGTTTGGCCTCTTATGCAGTCACCACCCCAAAACCTGACAGCCACAGGTACCTGAGGTCTGCCCTGTTGCCAGAGCACTGTGCACCCAGGGCTTTCTTTCCTTTTATGAAGTACCTCCAAGTGTAGCTTATTAAAATACAACTTTTAGAAAAATGTTTAATTTCTGAGATGGTATTTCTTCTCATAACAGATGGTTCAAAAAGGAGAAGGTTCTCCAAATAAGTTTCTGTGTAGCTTATATTGATTAACAATTAAAAAAGAGGCAAAACAAAGAAAACCCAGTTAGGCCTCCTGAGTGCTGATTAGCATGCAGGGGAATTTAATTCAAGTGCTGATTTCCTGGCTATTAAAAATTACTTGTCAAAATACCACAGCAGTATTTATCAGAGAGTAAATAAAAAAGCAATCAGTGGTGTCTGTTAAAGATCACACTCACTGCACACAATCTGCTACTATGTTGTCTGACAAGTAGGCAGAGGATTTCCCGTTTTACAGTGATGGGAAAGAGACTGGAACAGCTAGAACTGGAGAACTTAAACAAGGTCTCCCCATGTCTGCTGTAGAATCCTCATGCTGATACCTATTTCCAAAATTGAACTCAATGAAAAGAACTAAATGTATGTTTGGATTTGCCAAGATGCAGGAGAAGACAAGACTTCTGTTTGGGAAATCACACTGGCTAGTCACCTCTTTCTATGTTTCATCTGCTATATGAACTAGTTTAGAAAGTAGTTTTTAAAGCTAGTGATGAATAGGTTTGTCAAGGAACCCAGATCTGTTAGGAATTGACTTTTATGTAGTTTTTTTTATAACCATGTTCTAGCATGTAACCAACCAAGTGTTGGAATTTATTCTGTAAGTGTTCCCTATTCAAGATAGGAAGTTCCTTAGTCTTATGTACAGGTTTTAAAGAAAGAGACTAAAATTCTAGGAGAGGGATTGCAGATGTGTATTAAGCACTCAGGAAAAACATAAGCAGTTGCACTGTATACAACTTCGCAGTTGACATACATGTTTATAAAGCTACTTCCTTATCTTTTGAAATTATCTGTGTGAGTACTAACCAATACTAGATTCTCCAATGCATTATATTTTGCTGTGCCTTTTCTATTCTCCTTTCCAGTTTGCCATGTTACTGGGCAGTATCTGTGGGTATGGAGTCATATGGTGGCTAATAATAGATTTCTCAGAAAGTTTTCCCTGAGCTATTTGAGCTAAACTTGCTTATACTTAATCTCCTCCCAGTACTTTTAGATAAATCTGCCTTTGTATAACCTTTCTGCCCCTATTACTTTAGGAATTGTAAATGTTACTTAGCAAAACTGCAGTTATCTGTTTCTAGTGGGTAATTATTAAAAACAACAAAATAGATGAAACAACTGAAAGTTATTATTTTGACAGATTAGGAGTTCAGAAAAGGCACAGTATTTTCTTCTATATTTTTTCTTCACTTACAAGCTAATCATGATTTTTCAGTTTTCTTTATATCATCATGTCCTTTCCTCCAGTCTGTATCCCTGTTCTGTAGAAATTGCTGTATTTTCATGCATTTTCTTGACTTGCCTAATCCATCAAGGTCACAAGGTCATGTGCTAGAGCTAACCTTCCTTCCTTCCTGGTCTTTCTTAAGGAAGTTATAATATTTGGCTGTATTTGAGATTGGATCAGGGAAAAGTGTTGATAGGCAAATTTGAGTTCTGTAAATTTCCAGAAGGCTGTCACAGAAGTATTATAAGATTTACTGTTTTGTGTAGTGTATTTTTTTCATTGATTTAGGCAGGCTGTCACAGAAGTATTATAAGATTTGCTGTTTTGTGTAGTGTGTTGGGTTTTTTTCATTGATTTAGGTAATTTCCTTTAAGTTATTGTCTTAGTCTGGAATGTGTTATTCATAAAAATTAATGTTCAGAAGTTTCAGTAGTTTCAGTACCTGCCTAGTTAAAAGTTTGTTTCAGAAGTTTCAGTAGTTTCAGTACCTACTTAGTTAAAAGTTTGTTTTTTATGTTCATGATTGACTTTTTCTAACATCTAGAATCAGTCAGACTTGTCAGATGAAGAGCTGAATGATGACCTTCTGCAAAGTGACAATGAAGAGGAACAAGAATTTCGGTATTTCTTCTCTAAATTTTGTTTTGGATAACTCAAACCTGTTGGTGACAACTTCTACTGATAACTAATAACTACTGCAGTTATTGCTATATACTGAAAACAGTTTTGCTTTTTACCTAGCCACCTGTGTAGTGATGTATGTATAATGTACTCTATGGCATTATTAGCATTTCAGTGAAATTATTTTTGTTTATTTCAATCTCATAAATTTAACTCAAAAAAGCTTATAAGAAGAAACTGTGTCATCTCCTGTGCATCAGTGAAATTATTTTTGTTTATTTCAAGCTCATAAATTTAACTCAAAACAAAAAAGCTTATAAGAAGAAACCGTCATCTCCTGTGCTTATAAAACTAATTGTAAACACTTACAGAGCTTTGTTCTTTGCTACCTGTGTTGTTGTAGGCTTCCTTCTCCTGTAAAGTCCTTTTCTGCCATTTTTCTTCTAAAGATCTATTTTGCCTCCTAAGACTGTGAAGAGGGGAATTTTTTGCTTTGCAAGGCTCCGTCTGTGGCTTAACTATTTGTATGCAGTCACACAACAGAAAAATTTGGACAGAGTTTACAGATTTGAGCCAGTACTGCTGTGGGAGCTTACTGAGGATCCTGCCCTGTCCATACTCTGTGGTGATACAGTTCCACAACTGAATTTTGGGCATTACAAGTCAAAATGAGTGTCCTGTCATTTTTACTTTTCAAGCTGGACTGAAGTGAGAGGGAAGATGCTTGTGATACAAAAGTGGTGTAATACCACTGCTGCTTTTTAAAGCTCCATGTGTTTTTCCAGCTTTTCCTTTACTTGTTGCATGCTCTGCAGGGCATGCCCTCTGAAGGGCTATGAATGTGTATATATATGTATAACATAGACATATCTATATCCCTGAGATCTCCTCAGCCCTAATTAGGATAAGGAGTCCTGTCCCTGTGTTGGACTATGATGAAATGCTCCAACCATCAGTCTCTCCGTTGGCTGCTGTTTCCCTCCCTGCAGCAGTGAGGGTTGGACTGTTCACTTCAAAATGGACAATCCCAGTTACAGTCCTTGCTGTTTCTTCTCTGTATGTCCTCCTTGAGACCCCTGGGCAGCAGGGATGGCTGTGTGACCACACCAGTGATAAGAAAGGATCCAAAGTGTGATAATGTTGCTCAGTGGAAGCAGTTTTCTGTAGGCAGGTTTTGCATTTTTAGCAGTTTTATTGCCACAGAGTGGGAGCCTTTCCCTTCTCCTTCTATTTCCATTCAACCTCATGCCTCTATAGTTGGCAGGATAATGATAATCCTGCATAATGTCTTCATTTTCTTGTTAAATCTTTGAGTCTTATAGATGCAAATAGCTTAAAGCTGCCTGGATCTTGTTCCCCTAAACTTAGGAAAATGGCGAATAATAGGAATGCAATTTAAAAAAAAATAAAAAAATTGAGTCTTATAGATGCAAATAGCTTAAAGCTGCCTGGATCTTGTTCCCCTAAACTTAGGAAAATGGCGAATAATAGGAATGCAATTTAAAAAAAAAATAAAACCCCCAAAATCTTTCTTTTCCTTATACCCAGAGGCCTTAAATCAAGAAGAGCTTCCCCTCCTTGTCCCCCTGCTTTTCTAAGTAGTCTGCAGTTGGTTAGTTGCTTTATATGTGTTGATGGCATTAGCTGTTGTCAGCAGTAAATTCTGAGCTTTGCTTTGCCTGCAGATTATAAGCTTGTCAGTTTTTGTATTGATTGTTTTTTTAAGTGCCTGTGCCAGTGCTGTTACTAAGTTAAGACTGTCTTAGGCATTTAAATGACAGATCTTGACTATATATTTTGCATTATTTTAAGAAGAACATTAGATGTGTCATTGTAATGTGAACTGGAATTGAAGATAATAAAGAATTAACAATATTAATACATTTAATAAAAAATATTTTGCTGACGTATTCTGAAAGATTGGCAAAACACATGCAGTTATAGTAATTTTGTGTATTTTTTGTTAGTCTTGGAATTAAAATTGGATTTGGTCTGCTTTGGTTACCAAGCAGGACTTTTGCCAGTTTGACCTGCTAAACCATCTGGTTGGTTTGATTCCCCTGGTCAAATAGCCTGCAGCTGGTGATAAGCTGCAGTACCCTGTGCATTCTGAGAACATGGCATGGAGTCAAATAGTGTATATGGCATAATTCTGGCCACCAACTTAGAGAATTTATGTTTGTTGGCTTCGTTTAGCTAAATCTTTGTGAGTAGTTGACTGTTACACTTCAGCCTCTAATTTTTCCCCCTATTCCATAGCTCTCAAGGAGTCACAGTTAGCCTAAATGCTACATCTGGCATGCTGACATCATATGAGCTCTCTGAGACCATCAACGATCCATCACTAGAACATGAGTCTGAGTATGACCAAGGGGAGGATGAAATTGGTTATGACAAATCTGAAGCACCTGAAGTGTATGCTTCAGAATATGCAGAGGAAGGACATTATGAAGGCAATGATCCTGAACTGACAGAAGACCAAATAGAATATGGGGAAGAGCCTGGAGAAGAAGATGAAGTGCTAGACCTTGAAATCAATGAACCCCTAGATGAATTTCCAGTGAGTTTCTTTCTATTGTATCTTCCAAGATAACATTGCTACACGTGCATAGGGTTTTAGAGTGATTTAAAATCTGTTTACCTCCCTAGGGAGGAGGGGAAATTAGACCTATTATCACTGTCTGCCAGTTTCTTTATCTAGGCTGTGACAAAGTTTGTGTTGACAGCTTGTTTGGCGGTAGGTAATGCTCCTTTGTCATGCTGGAAGGCAGTTGAGAATCATGACCTTGAGGATTGTATCCTTAAGGAAGAAAACAGCTTTGTGTGGTGGAGATACACTGCCAATTGTTAGAAGTACTTAATGCAAAAGCTTTTATCCAGGCTTTAGACAAGATCTGATAAAGTCCTTCGAAGGTGAAAAGATTATTGACCTGCTAAAGACATCTTTAAGGTGCTAATATCCCAAAGTGATTGATGTCCTGCTCTTCATCCTTTTTGTAACTGAGAACTGTCTAAACCTGAATAAAGAGATTGGAGGTTAGTTCAGAAAATGTCACTTGCATAATTCAATATAATTTAGGCAGTGTATTAGAGAACATGCACTGGCTTTAATTGCTAGTGAAATGATTTAATCTTAATTAGAACTGTATGTGATCAGTGAGGTGTTTTAACATACAAGCCAACTTGCTTAAAAAAGATTTTGCTCTTGTTTTATGTTCATGATTGTTCAGAGCTGAACCCACTCATATGTAAGCACTTGCAGAATGTTTAAGAATGTTTGTATGTTTGATGAGATGAAATCTGATGTAAATGTATATGTGCTATAGATGCATGTTTCCTTCAGTAAGAAATTACTGCAGTGTTTGCTTCATGAATTTGTTACCAAAGGATGGAGATGTATAGAAGTAGATGGGGCAAACAGTATTAGATGGGATCTTGCAGATGTCATTGCTGGATTCTGAATGAAAACTGTTTTAGTTTTGTTTTTGATGGTACCAAAATTATTGTCTAGTTAAAAGCCCTGCTGATTATACTGTATATATGTAATATCACATTAACACGGACAGTTCTGATAGATACTGTGCCTCTCTGCCAGTCTGGAAGCAGTAACAGTACAGCCAGACCACATCTCTGCTTGGGTTTGTGATTATGTACAGCTGGCCTCTGTCTTTTCACCTTCATGTATTACTGCTTTAGGATGAAGATTACATGCAGTCATACAATGAGCAAGGAATAGAAGAGCAGGAAGAATATACAGCTGATGAGGAGCTTGAAGAATCCCAGACAATGGCAAATGAATCAGAAGAGGTATGTTGTGAATTCAATGGGAACTTAAAAAACCTGGTTCTTTCAGAATTTGAGTTCATAGAATTGTACATATTACTGGGTAAGAACTGACACAACTTTGCCAGTCTTGAATTACTGGTGGTATTATTCTTCGTATAGGATGAATTGTGATAACATCTATATTGTCAGAGAAATCAGATTCCCTCTCCCTCTTCAGATGAAAATCATAAGGGAGAGCCCAAAATATGCATATTTAATCTTGGTTTCAACATTAAAAACTTCAGGGACCCTTTTGGGTAGGAGAATTGCATGCTGCCTGTTAAATCTCTAGAGCTATGATGCTTCACATGATGATCAGTTGGATCATTTCTGCTGCTGAGAGTGTAAATAACAGTTCTTGGGTATCCTCCTTTGAGGAGGAGTGTGAGCATGGAAGGTTGGGTGTTTTAGAAAGGCAAAGGTGAGATTGTTGTTTTGAAAGAAGTTGTGTTGGAACTGAAGTTCCTGTGAAGTTTATCTTCTTGGATAGGAAAAAGGGTGAGTTCCTTCATTTGCAAGAAGAAAAAGCTTGTGTCAATGACTACCAAGTACACATTCACTGATTATAGCCCAAGACAGTGGTATCATACCTGTTTTTAATTTGCAGCAAGTTTTTGATGTGGGATTTTTTTCTTTGCCCCACCAGGAATCTGCTTTAATATTACTTTTATTCCACTTCTTAATTAAATAGGATTGAATGGATTACCTGCTGAGAAGTGTAGTCAGAGTGTGTTTCCTCTTTGGAGCTTTAACTCATCAGGAAATTAATTCCTCAAAGACACAGCAGTGTTACTCTATGAAGTTCTAACAAATGGGTCTGCTGTGATACTCTAGTTGTATCACCTATTAGAGTAAAACAGCATTTTTTGGTAGGTTGAGATCTGCATTGCAAGGGGCCACCTGCATTGTTCAGGCTTCACTGTTTGCAAGCAGGGCATCTTATACCACATATATCATGATGTCCTTAAATTCTCTACTTCCCAAGTTTTTAATCTACCCTTCAAAGGAGCTGTGAAATACCTAAACACTTGTTATTCGTTCACTGGGTTATATACACTTCCTTGATGGTGTTTTGGAAATGGAGTGATGCATCTGTGCTGTGCATTTGTGTGGCCACAGTTTGAGATGATGGACATAATTGCACATTGTGTAAAATGAAGTACATAGTTGGGATTCACTGTCAAACTTAAGGCTTTAAAAAAGCACAGCTTCATTTTTAGAGTACAAACTAGTGAGAATTGTGTAGTAATCGTATTACCTAAATATATCCAATTCACAATTAAATTATTTTCATTCAAAAATGCAAGTTTTCAATTGATTTTGTTAATAGGGCTTTTACAGAATTTTTTATTCAGCATATAGTGTAAATGTTTTGGACATATCTCTATTCAGTTGCTCTACATTTTGGCTTTATTCTGATGCTTTGCAGATTGCCAAAGGTTTCTTCTTTCCAAAATAGTACCATCTTTTTATTCCTTTCTTATTTCATATGTAACTTATTTACATTTGGTGGTAGACTCACAACTGCCCTCTTCAAATGAGAATACCACTGAGAGAGAAAACCTTTATAGAGTATTCACTCCTGTTTATTGCATGGTTAGATTCTTGCCTCCAGCTCTGAAGTTTTGTTCTTTATTTAAGTGTTACATAACAGCACTCTTCCTTGCATCTCCTAACATTCACTGCTCGTAAACAAGGGCAGTGGTTGGGTTTCTCTTGTAGAAAATGCAGCACGAGAATGGAGCTGTAATGGATGCAAAGAAACTGCATTATCATCTCTGGATTGAAATTTGACATCTGAATAACTGAGAGTGAGCTGACAGAGAAGAGAGTTTGGTGGTGTATTTTAAGCAGTTTCCTCATTAAAACCAAATAAAGCCTCTTACTATATTGCATGAAGAAATTGTGTAAACCAAGAGAAAAGCTGCACACGACTGGGAGGGAAACAAGTGAATAAGGAAAGTGAGATAGTGTTTAGGAGTGCCACTTGGGTAGGAGGTGTGAGGAAGAGGCAGGTAAAGTTTGAGTCACTGCTTAGAACTTGGATTTTAAATAAATAACACTCTGTGTTGAAAAATGTACCTGTGCTTCAGTAAATATTTTTGCCTTCCTAAGATACAAAGCAAAACCCAATACCCAGAAGTTTCAGCAGCAAATAGGTATGGTAGATCAGTCACTTGAGGTATCATGTCCTAAATTTTTCTAGAGGAAAAATATCACTAATTGCTTCTGTGCAATGTTCATAAAAATAAAACCTACTGAAATTAGAGTTCATAATTTCTTTGGTTTATATTGGAACTAATCTATGAAGTCTATGATAGGGGATTTATCATCACATAATTTATGCTGTGTCTTGGGTTATGCTAAGAAGTGAAGAGGACTTTAATCAACAAAACTTGTCATGAAGAAGTGCTGCATATTGCTTGTCTTTTCATAGAATACAGACTTGGGGGAAAAAAAGGCCAATGTATCTGTCTGGATTGTTCCATCTGTATTCAGCCAAAACTTCTGTATTTTAGTTCTTGTATTGTTCACATTTGAAGATACTGCCTGTCAGCCTGGAGGAAAACTATGAAAAGAGTGCAAATAAAACCAGCCAATTTTAAAACACATTTAAAAGCTCTGAAGTTGATATTTTTAGCCCACCTTTTCACCTGTGGAATGGAGGTGCCTTTGTAATATCTTCTTATCTATCCTATTATTTCTTGATGTCCCAGGACTGAGCAATTGCTGCTGCTTCAGTGTTAGCCTCTAGTAGATGCCTTCACTGCCAGTTTTCTGGCTAGTTAATAGTAGTTCTTTGTTTCACCTTCGTAATGTTTCTGGTTTAGCCTTTACAACGTTTACCTGTTTTGCACATCTGGTCAATCTCACGCACAAAGCTCTCCAGAATACCTGATAGTCCCATGTTTGGGAGGATCATAGTGACCAGTGTTTTCTCCTGCTTTCCTTGGGCTGTGTCTGTTAGCAGTCCTGCAGCTGCCTGGTAAGCTGTTCAAGGCAGGAGCTCTCTGCAGATCATAGCCCAGTGTGAGAAGTTCTGGTCAGGGGCTGGAATTCATGGCATCATTATTTAATGAGGATGGCAGGAGCCTCTGACCTTGTGGTAGAAGAAAGGTCATTCTTTTTCTATGTAAGAGTCAGCAAAGCTCTTTAGTAGCTCTGTGGAAGGTGTTGTAATGGGAAATATGACACTCCCTTTGAGGAGAGCTGCTGGGAAGCCTTGGCTGGCCAATCTAGTCAAGTGACCTCGAGTGGCCATGCAAAGACTGTTTATGTGAATGCAGATATATTAATGATTAGTAAGTATTAAAAACAGTGCTGTAAGGACTAGTAGGTCTTAATTCTGTGTCTGCAAATGCATCTTTTTGAAACATAGAATTCATTCATATACTGTGATCTTGGCAAAACACCTCATCCTGTTTTGCTGGAGGCTGGAAAAGATCATTTAGAAGTGTGTCATGCTACAACTGTTGCACAAACTGCAGGGGAAGGGTTTGTACTCCTACGCAGCTGAGCTAACCTTTCCTGGAGCTGTATGTAGAGAATATATGGTTGGCTGTCAGACATGTTTGTGTCTCCATCACAACTAATAACACGTGTAATCAGACTTGGGTCAGTTAACTTTCTCCAGCACTCCCTTTCCTTGGTGCTGCTTTTTCATCCATCCTTTTGATTTTTTAATTTTTTTTCTCTTCAATGCTCAGTGCTTGTACAACTGTTGTCTCATAGGTGGCATGAGCATTGTGCTGATGAATAAAGTAAGTTAGACCCAGAAGACTACAGAGTTGGTGCAAGTGGCTAAGAATAGAATAGTACAAGTCTAGAAAAGTTTGAGAAATGTTTTTTATCGTTGTATACATAAGCAGTTGTCTTCTAGTCTGTTACAACTTGCACTGTTTTCTTTTTAGAATGTATTTCTTTTTTTTTCCAGAATGAATAATTTTCCAAAAGCAACCAATTTTCCACAGGTATTTTCTGTAGCATTTCATTGAAACACAGCAGAATTTTCAGGACAATGCAGACTGCATTAACCTTTCTAGTCCTGATTCTGAAGTCTGAGGTACACATAGAGCTTTGCATGAGTAAATTTTGCACTCACAGATGAGATTAGATAACTGAGATGAGTCTTTGGTTAATAAAATCTGGAGTTCCAATGTAGCTTTTAAGGGGCATGAACATAGAGGATGTGTCTGGGGTTTATGCTCTCAAGTAAAGCAGGAGGCTTAGTGTGGTGAAAGCATGTCTGTCAAAATAGTTCTGACTTCCAAGTCCTGATCCTGAAGGGAAAGTTTCTAAAAACAAGCATTGAGACAGTAAAATCATGGGGTTTGTGATATTTAAAAGCATAGAGTTGATAGAGATATTGCTACTCCTTTCTCTTTTGGGAGACCCTCTTTTGAAAGTAAAATGCTAACCGTGTCTTTCTCTCTTGTTTTTGTTTGTTTTTATTAAACCACCTTAGCATCTCTTTCCTTGCTAACATCCCTCCTCTGTTCCATGAGTCTCAGCTGCCTGTCCTCAGGGGTGTTTTGATTATACATGGATATGTTAATCAGACCAGTTGTACTCAATTTAGGTTTGCTTTTGAGGTTTGGATTTCTTTCAGCCTTCAAGGGTTTGTTTGGGGTTTTTTTTTGCCTGCTATCTTGTCTATTGTTTTTAGCTGTCTTTTTTTTTTTTTCTGAAAGTATGATAAAGTTGTTACATCAAAAGAAAGTATAAGCCTTAAAGCTTTTTATAAATTTTATCTGTTCTCGTAGCTACATCTTAAAGCATTTTTGTGAGGTCAGAAAATGTGGTGCTTGAGTGTTTTCTTGGAGTGGGTAAAAGACATAAGGGGATGATAAAATGAAAATAACTTGGGGTCAGTGGCCCATTAAAGCTGAGTAACTAAGGATACAGATCATGTATTCATCACACCAAAGCTGGAATAGCTTTGAGCTTGAGTTCATAAGGTGTTCTGTCTTTTAAAGCAGAAACTGTCTTGCTAGACCATCCTGGCTCTGATTTTTCTTCCCACATTTCTTTTTTGGTTATGGATGAAGCTGGGCTGCTGGATCAGGAAATCTGCCATCTCTTGCACAGTTCTGCCATTCATTCTTTCTCTTGATTTGTGACTTAATATCTGTCCACCTGACCATCACACTTGCTGTGCCTTTTTCATATAAATTTGTGCACTGCTCTGGGTAATTAAGATTAAGCCAGGTTTGCATGTTAGATTTTGCTCATTTTTTAACTGTCCTCAAGCAGCATAAAAGTTATGATGTATTTAGTGGCTTTGCATAGAATTAAAATGCATGTGCAGGCTCTAAGAAATGAGCAAGGAGGCTTGTACAAGGAATAACCAAATACACAGTAACAAAAAAACTTCATGGAAAATCATGCTGAACTAGAACACTTCTGATTTTCAGCTGTGGAAATCAAATATAACTTGTGTAACAATCTGAACATTATTTTCATCAAGGCAAGAGAGGAAAATGAAATTGATTTATTCTCTTTCCTATTAGTTTGAAGGAGAGGGCTCCATTTTCATTTGGGACATTGTTTTATCCAAATAAATGTTCTCTGTTGTACAGAGAACTGGAAAGTAAATGAGGACAAGGGAGTAGCATTCCAGAATACAAATTCAGTACTTTCAAGTTTTCAATCCTGTTCTCTGTTCTCTTCTTCAGTTGCTGAATTTAAACTGTGAAGTCTTCAAGAAATAGGAAAAGTAATGACAAGTACAGTTATACATACCTAGACAAATGAGATTGAGATGCAACCAGATATCTGCTTTTGGAGGTTGTTTGTTGTTGTTGGTTTTTTTAACAACATGCTACTGACAGTTGTTAAAAAGAAATGAAAAAAAAGTTAATGATTTACCATTTGTATTATGTGAATCATGTGGTGTCCCAGGTTTGCATCATAGTCAGTTCAGTGGTACAATGTCACTCGGTGTGCAGAAGCAGCTACTAATGTGAAGAAGGTTCTAACTGGAGTTTCAATATTCCCTCAAATATTGCAGCAAAATGTGTTTTCTAAATAGATTTTACTTTATAATTTATTATATGGTTGATATGTTTATATTTTCAAACAATTCACCTTAAATGTTTACTGAATTACATGTGAGCATGATGGGTAATGTCAGCAAAATGTGTGCAAAGAGACCTTCAAGGAAAGCTTTATCTTTTGACACTGATCATCAGAAAGTAGTTTTTTCATGTTACATGTCCTCTGTATTTTGTGATTTAGGCAGCAATTGGATCTCTGGAACTTCAAGAAGAAAGAAAAGAGGAATCTGATGAAGAGGAGGATGATGATGAAGAGTCGGGACGATTACGTTTCAAAACCGAACGGAAAGAAGGAACTATAATTAGGCTCTCAGATGTGACAAGAGAAAGGAGAAACATTCCAGAAACATTGGGTGAGGTTTTATGGCAATGGACTGTTTTGCAGAGCTATAATAAAAAAGAGGCAGGATTGCCAAAACTTGTCTGAAAGAGCTAATGGCAAAAGGTAGAACAGTCACTTCTAACTTAGACTGGCCTATATCCAAGTTGTCCAAAATTGTACATAGTCTGTCGTAGTATGTGTCTTTTCCCTTGGGAATAAGGTTTAAATATATCATGTTTTGAAAAATCAGCACAATATTTGTTCATTGGACTTTTGTGGTATTTTTAAAAGCTTTCCTGTATTCAGGCAGCACCACTGATCTGTGCTTCACTACGTATTGTGCTGGAATACATTTTAAGGAATTTCTTTGGACTTAGATATTTGGAAGATTTTCTGCTGATAACACTTGTTATTTGTGTTTTGCTGTGAAATACCTGTATGTTTGCTGTTTTCCCCCAGGAACATAAGAATGCTCTGAACCTGTTGTGTTCCTGCTGTTGGATTAGCCTAGAGAAAACATAGCTTGCGGGGAGTGTGTTAGAAAATATGGAACCCCCTGTTTCCTGGGTCCAGCTTTTCTAACATGGAACAATCTGGATCTCTTAAACCCCCTTGATTCTTTAGGCAGTGTCTGAAAGGGTATAATTTCTTTGTATGTGAGTAACAAAACCATGAGTGCTTGTGTTTCTAGGAATATTGCTCCATGTAGCTGATGAATTTGCACTGTTAGTTCAGAAGAATCCCCAAATTGGGAACTTTCTTGCAGCTGCTCTGTTTTAGTCTGTAAATAAAATCACAATGTTTTATGGCTTTGAGAGTTAACTTCAAGACCTTTTGTGTGTCCTGAGTACTCAGGTGTCTGATACTGGTGTTGTATGTGCCCCACTGGGGATAATAAATTGCCTCTTGATGTTGGCCTTACAGAGGTGGCAATAATAACAGTAATAAATCAAATTAAAATTATGGTATTAGGGAGATGGACGGAAATTAAGTTTATCTTCCAGAATGATCTACCATTTTTAGCTTTGTTACGGAATGAAAATATCAGTTCGAACTATGGAAAAAAAGCCTGGGTCTTTTGAAGTGAATCAAGATATGCAAGAGAAATGAACTGGTAATGAAGGCAGATTGTCAGATACTGTTGGCTAATTGTCAGATGCTATTGGGAGAAGATGTATGTGTCAATGATACTTCAAGTTTTGCCAGACTGTTGGGTTGGTTTCTTCACACAGGAGTGCTCTAAGAGGGCACCATTCAGCCTGAGCTTGGAAACTGGGTGCTTCTGCTTTCTTTACAGATGGGGCAGTGTCCTTAGACAGTGTCCTTGGAATTACATTCCTAGAGCAGATCCCTAGTACCAGAACTTATGCTGATGAAGTTTTCCTCTTACCTTAAAAGCTTTGCTTTGTGAAGGGTGCTAGATCTAATGGTTTTTCTCCTGGACTGTATAGCCTACAAATTCTGTATTTGGGTTTTTACTATGCCTGCAAAAATTGAGAAGCCTTTTAATTCTGTAACAGAGGTGGTGTGGCTAAGAAGACTTGTTCCTAAGCAGCTGCAGAGGCTGAACCAGACCTTCACAGTGGTATTCATGTAGGCCATGTCAAGATATCAGTGCTTGATTTTGAGTCAAGTTACCTCTCATCTGTTGTTCATATGTAGCAAATAGCTGCTTTTACTTGCAATTTCAGGCAAAGTGTGTAGGGGCCTTTATCCAGCATCGTTTTAATAATCAGAAATTGATTCTGAGTAGAATAAGACTGATGGGAACTCTCCAGAGGCACAGTGTGCTCTGTATGGGCAAAGGGTATTTTAGCTGTGATGCATTCTATATGTATTTACAACCATAAGGCTGTATTCCTACATACCACACAAGGACCATACCTAATTTCTACAAAAGGTGCTGGTGGCTTTACGAAACAGAATATTTTCAAAACAAAAGTGACCTGGAATAACTGAATTTCTGCACATAATTGCAGGAGTTTCATGTATCTGTGGATTTATTCTTTAGTTTAATGTAAAGACAAGACCAGTGAATGAGGAGAAAACCTGTAGAGGATCTTGACTGTTAAAGGAACAGTGATATGAATTAGGCTTATTTTTAAATGTAATTTTAAGTGATTTGGGGTGTAGCTCCGAGATACAAGGAGATGTAAATGTGGATGATTCTATAAAAAGGTTTTTTTGAAACTAATATTTGGCAAAAATGCAAACTTGCTGTTGTGAAATGGTTTCTATTCATATTAGTTTTTCTTGTTGATTTCTTGATAAAGAAACCAGATGATTGACCAGGTGGTAGAAAGTTAAACTGCAAAAAAATTCTTGTTTGCATATTAATATCTGCTTCCTTTTGAGATTATAGATAAAATTTTTACAGATGCTGTGGTTTAAAAATGAAATTTCATTGCAGACCTTCATCTCCTTACTCTGAAATATTAACATAGTTGAGAAAACACTTAAAGAAGAATTAGCATTTCAGTTGAAGTTACAAACGTAATTTCCATCCTGTCACATTTTGGTGACCTTTTGTGACAGCTTGTCTCTATTGGAGGAGTGCATTCGTACTTACTGATTAAAGATGTCATTTGAAACCATTTTATTAGCAGCGATAGTGAAATTAATCCTGACACTGAGAGACACTAGAAAAATAATTGCTGATTCACTGCATTAACTGTGTGTGAGAACTGTACAGTCAAGATGAGACTAGGTGTGTCTGGTAAAAAAAGATGTAAAAATATGAAGCGTTTTCTTGAATGTGGCTGAGATATTTCCTTTAATCAAGATCCATTTCTTTATCCAAGATAACGTAAATAGTGGTTTTGAAAAGTTCAAGGGAGAGGTATTTTAGGACAGCTATACCATTGCTTTCTAGACATGCCTAGTTTGTCATCTTTGGTAAGAAATATTCTTTCAGTGCATGTAGTTGAAGTCTTCTCAGAGTTGGAATTGCCATTATTCTCTGGATTTAGTTACCTGTTAGGGAATGTGAAGTGAAAAAATGGTTTTGGTATCACCGAAGTAAAGTATTCCCCCTGTATGTAATTTAAAAAAAACCCAAACCACTCCCCAAACTCCTACAGTTATGCAGAGCCATTTGCAAAATCCTAACAAAGGTTAATTGGATGTGGCAGTACTTTTTGTTATGCCCTGCTTAGTTGGCTTATGTTCACTCTGTGACTAGTGGCTGAGATTTCAGTCAAGAATGGGAAATTAAAATGAGTGGTTCACTGTTGTCCTGTTGCTCTGTGTGCAGAAGCACAGAGTGTAATCAGTTTGCAGATACGGGTGATGAGAGAAAAAAAGTTACAACTTACTGCATATGTATGTAAACGAATTTATTTATAGCTGTTCTGGAACGTGACTTAGGTTGAAAAATCTCTGCATTACCCAGGATAATAGAGATTCTGGGGGTTTCAAACCTATGGATCCGGCCTGGCTCCAGGTGTTTGGGCTGCAATGGACACAACTTCTTAGCCAGGGAGAAGCAGTTGACTTTTTC